AAGGTGGAGGTTCCAGGATGGTTAGATATCCAGCTTTATATAATTCAGCTGATCCCCCCGACATCGATTTTCTAGATCGAAAACGGGTGGTCGCAACCCCCCACCCCAAGATGCATCTATATGCATCTATATAGAATATTGAAGTGATTGGGTCAAAATCAACATGACATCTAGGAAATCAACTTGGAAAATTGTTTCATGTACCCTTCAAGAAAGGCGATTTTTCTAGGAAACCTAATGTGCTGTGGGATAGGTGCATATGTTTCTGTAATTTCATGGAAGTCATTTCCAATATTTTGTAATGATAGTAACCACTATGAATTCACCCCTACATGGATGAGCATCCCAGGCATCGTCCGGACTTTGATGTTTGATCCTTCGGATTTGCTGAAGGGGCTCCAAACAAATTAGACAATATCTAATTGGTGGTTTTAACCATCTTGAAAAATATTAGTCAATGGGAAGGATTATCCCATATATTATTATGGAAAATAAAAAAATGTTTGAAACCACCAACCAGTCAATCTTCCTGATAGAGTCCCCATTTCTGATGGATTTCCAAGAAAATAAAGCCACATATCACCGACTCAACATCCATATAACAAACCCAGGATGAGCCACTACTGCACCAAGGTTGCGTCATGTCTTCACCTACGAAGCCATGGTCATTTAGTTCGATGATTTGCTGCTTTTAAACATGGTGATTTTCCATAACCAAAGGCTACTTTTTACGTTGACCTTGCTGCTAATTTCACAAACTGAGATGGAAATTCTACAACGAGTTTAAAGAATTTCCAGTCATGTCCCCATGAGTTTTCCATCTCGTTTTGTATGTCGACTGACGGTTATTTTCAATCTTAAATTTACGCAACTTCCCAAGATGTTCCAATAGGTTATTGCTCAACCTATAAATCTTCCACAACTACATGCCCATCGTTCCCATGGAGTTTCCCTACAAGGCGGGGCCCCCGAGTTATAAGTTGCAGTTATGTTCTTGAACCCCATCTAACTACAGTTGTATCCACCATAAAACCTAGTTATTGTAGTTATAAACCAACTCAGCTATCGTTTTTTTGGGCCCCACATTGTATCTTTCCCCGTGTTTTCCCCATAGCTGAAGCGAAAACAACGCCGCCGCCGCCGCCACCCATCTTTTTTCTGCGTTTTTTCTGCGATGGTGACTTCGCCACCTGGCGCGGCACATGATTTTCCATGGCGTTTTGATGCTTTTTGTATGCCAGAGGGTATACCATCACTCATTTATAACAAGGCAATGGTGAAAATCTCAATAGCTGTGGCCCTGGTGCTATTCAATAGGGTGAGCTCTCGCGGATCAAACAGCTTTACCGATTCTGGAGTTTGTGGCTGATTTTGAGAGACTCCACTATAGTGAAATCTAATGTCTCATGTGGAACCCGAGTTTCAGCCATGCCCAAAAGGACATGGCCATCTTTCAGGCCTTTTTTTGGGTGGTCCATGTTGGAACTCAGAAGGCTGGGATGATGGATCTGTGCAAATTGATGGTAGTATCTCAGCAAACAGTACAATGTGGTGCCCCCAAGATAGCTAAGTTGGTTCATAACTCTAATAACTAGGATTTATGGTAGATATATCTATAGTTAATGGGACTATAAACCAACTTCTAACTGGGGGGGCACCACCTTGTAGTGCCCATATCAGCTGGAAACGGATCATTTCCCCAAGGGCAAGTCAACGACACAGGTTGATCAATGTCTCCAGTTCGCCCTTGAGCAGCCCAGATGAGTACGGGTCAAACCTCTGAACAATAAACAGCCATAAACAGCCGTTGTGTATTTTAATGAACATCTGCACATTTCTGGGATGTAAGTACCACTCCTGGATCCCAGCTGAACTCCTGAGGTCCGAACCTGGTTCGCAGTCGTGTGGCCGATGCTGAAATCTCTTCTGCTTGGATCTTATCAGCTATCATCTGCTTATAGTCTGCCAATGGATGAAAAATACTTCCGCCCAAAAAAATCAACTGGCTTTTTTGTGAAGTCGTTGGTACGTCTTTCGAACTTCAGGAATTCTGAAAATCAATCTTTCGAATAAAAGCATGACTTAAATAATTGTAATTGTAATATATTGTAATCCTCTGGGTCTTAAAAAATTGAGCACAACTGGCTGAGAGAAAAGGGATGGGAAACCATCTGATGTCATGCTTCTGGAGGCTATCGACGAACTAGGGATACTAAATACTAGCGGACCTGGAAATGCAGAGGCTCCTTTCCTTTAGGAAAGACAGCCCCACAAAGAATGGGAAGGGCGCCCCGAAGTCTGATGGATCATGAATTTTACCCAGTAAGTTCCATGGCAATTTTTCGTAGTTCCATGGGGCACTGTGAAATCCATCCACCAGGCCTGTTTTTGGACCATCATGAATTTCCATAGAATCCATCATGGATATTAATTGATAGATACCATCCACAAAACCATCCGGAAAAAAACAAACATCACATTTTTTGGTGGTAAAACGACCACCCAAAAAAATGATTTTTGGTGAGTTCGTCAGATTGGATCGTCACAACATATCCCCAATCTGCTTGGGGAAAATGTGTTTTTTTCATGTTCCAAACCACCAACCAGATAAGATCATATCATATTACCATAGTTAATCCATATATATCCATATTTATATATTATATATCATAGTTAATCCATATATTACCTAGTATAACCCATAGTTAATCCATATCTATACCATAGTTAAACATCATTAAAAACATTTCCAAACCACCAACCAGATCATCAACTGTTGGGGTCCAACCAACCCTTCCCCGGGCCCTGGGCCCCACCCAGGTGAGACGACCGAGAAAAATCACCACGGTGAGTTGAGCGAGGATTTTTGGCGATCTCGCGACCAAACAACAAATTCCTGGGATATCCCAGAACTACCCTCTGGTTATGTCAAAATAGCTATGGAAAATGACCATTAATAGTGGATTTACCCATTAATAATGGTGATTTTCCATAGCTACGTTAGTTTACCAGAGGGTAAAAGAACAACTTCTGGGAACAATCTGATGATCTTACAACATCTTACAACTACAACTGGAGGAATTTTAGTTGTTTTTTGCTTTTATGTTGGTTTACATACTCAACTGTACCCTGTACCCTAAAAAAAAATCGTTTGTTTAGCAGCTATGTCAACATTGTCCCAGTGAAGAAAAATGCCAAGGAGATACCAGCAATGTGATGTCAGCTACATGAGACTGAGGAAGAACAAGCTGTAGCAAAAAAAAACCTGCCGAACTAATCATCCCCTGCCGAAGTAATCATCCCCGTGTTTGATAGTTCATAAGCCAACGAATGATGATTTTATGTCCAGGAGATGACCATAACATGACTATATAATAATCAACTAACAGGGTTTTATTTAGTCGCAGCCACTGCAAAGAATTCAGAAGGACGATACGGATTCGCCTGGTTGTCCATTCCCCAAGGGCTATGAGGTAAAGTGATGTAAAGTGATGTAAAGTGACCATCTGCCCACTTTGCCACCAAGGTATCTATAATACAAGAGACACATTCATATGCGCAAAGAGCGCTCATCATGATCATGGGTGGTCTTAGATATGCAACAAAGATACGTACTTTAGCTGGTTAGTAAATATCTCAATCACAGCCAAAGATTCAACTAAGTTGTACCCATCTTGTCAGCTTTGTCCAGGTGTCCGTTCAAAAACAACACACAAAAGTGACACACTCCTCCTTCAAATCCTGAACCTTCAAGCTTGGCTCAAAGGACTCACATCTTTGGGTGTTCCTAACCACTAACATAAACCTCTGTGAGACACCACTTCACATCGCCTCAGCCGACATGCTGATTCAGCTGTGCAGGTGACCTGTAGAAATTTCAACTCAAATATCTGGGCACATCACTATACGTCCCAATTCTGAAATACCCATGAAATCATAGCATATCATCTACACCAATAAAAGATTGATTACCCCGCATGAAATCTGGCTGTTTATGGCAAACCAGCAAAGTGTTTCCTCTGAAGTCGTACTACACCCCCTAAGTTGACCTCAATTCAATGGGGGAAAATGATTGCCCTGGTAGGGGCTTCCATGTGGGGGGAATTCCATCTGCTTCCAGTTGGCACTCTACAACCCCCAAAACCGTTCGATTCATAGGAGTTCCAAGAATTGATGGGGATCAGCACCAAGATATGGAGCTTTCAATGGGGTTACCCCCAAATCATCCGATTAGATATTAGACCATTTTAGACCATTTTAGTATTGAAACATATTGAAACCCATGGTGACTTGGGGAGCCATGACTTAAGAAACGATCTTATAAAGGATACGAGATGATACCAGTAGCTTTTCGCCCCCGCCAGCTAAATCATCGGCAAAACCAGGGGTTTTACAAAGCCAGCAGCCCAAAGACCAATGACCCCGGTCTACGCCATCACGGAATTTCATGCGGATCTGAGGCGCGATCACATGGTTAAATTTTGCGTGGGATATACGATGGGGATATAAGAGGATATTTTTTTATGCAACCAACATCAACCAACTACTGGTTGGTGGTTTCCCTCTGAAAAATATGAAAGTCAAATGGGAGTATTATTCCCAATATATGGAAAAATAACAAATCAAGCAACTAGATAATATATCTGGTTGGTGGTGCAATGTGCCCATCTTGAAAAATGATGGAGTTCGTCAATGGGAACGATGACATCCCATATATGAAATGGAAAATAATCCAAATGATCCAAAATGATCCAAACCACCAACCAGATATGAATTGACTTTGTCTGAAAATTCTCGGCATACACCCTGAACATCATATTTCATCCACGAATTTTCATCACCCTCCCCATGAACATATGATTTTGAATATAGCCAATTTGTCGTATACCTCATGTTTGGACAGAGCCATATGACACCTTTTTATGCCAAATACTTGGCGGAGACATGTCCATCGGCCACAGACCTCCAAAGCATCACCCTGTCTGGGAGACCCCTGCAGGTTAGCCCCAGGCGGTTCTCGGCTGACCCACTTCGGCCTGGAGATATCTGGAGATATCTGGAGATATCTGGAGATCGGTATGAAGGGGGCCATTCCCAGTCATGGGTGGTTTATGATTATTTTATGATTGTTTCCCCACATTACCCTCTGGTAATTTAACATAGCTATTGAAAATGACCATTTATAGTGAGTTTTCCCATAAAAAATGGTGATTTTCCATAGTTATGTTAGTTTACCAGAGGGTATACCCCAAAACCATAGATTTCAATGGCAAAGTGGTCTAATTTTGATGATTTGGGTACCTCCATTTTAAAATTTTAGACACCACCAAATGGCGGTGGAGAATCATCGAATATCCAAAAGAAACATAAAGAAACCACAAACACGACGGCATCGAGAACGTTTCAATGTGGCCAACATGAACGACCTTGATACCACGTTTATGATGTTTCCTTTGTAGTTGGACAATGTTGTAGACTGACTGATGGCTGTGACTCCGGGAAGTTTAAGGGTGGTTATCAACATCAATCAATATCAATCAACATCAATCAACATCTTTAACTCGTCCATACATCATGTTGTCAAATGTTGTTCCTTTTATACATATATCTTATCATTATATATCACTATCCCATTCTATCCATGTCCAATCCCATTTCTACTGGTTGGTAGTCATATCCCCCATGACTTTCTATCCCCCGCTTGATGAGCCGCGCCTTCCAGTCCGGCGAAGGCGAACTTGCCCTGGAATTCATCCATGGAAAAGGTCCAGAAATTAGTCCAGAAATAAATCCGTTCTTGTCCATGAGCCATGGCTATGTTAAATAATCAGAGGATCTCCCTCTCTGTCTCTATATATATATACACAATCATATACATCTATTCACAGCATATCAAATAATTAATATATTTATGATTTATGAATTAATGATTTTCTCATCTCTCATACACCAAGAACACATATTTTTTGCAACTGCAATGTTTAATTGCAACGGGCCAATCACTTGTGCTAGAGCCATGCCAGATCTTTTCTCTCGTTCTGGCTGAATCATCATCCCGTTAAAACTAACTTTCGGTGCTGAAAATGTGCATTTCTTACAACCACAACTAGCCTCCGGCAAACTAACAGAGCTATGGAAAATGGACCATTTATACATGAATGATTACCCATAAAAAATGGTGATTGTCCATAGTTTTTTGTAAACGTTTGCCAGAGGGTAGCAATTTTCGATGGGACAAACCCACTTGGAAAACGATGGAAAAACAAACACTGGATCATCCCACAGTTGGTCACCATAGGATGATAATAGCAAACCATCATGTAGTGTTTCAAATATACCCCAGTATACAGTATATATATGTATGTATATATATATGTAGATTATATATATACAGTATATATATGTATATATAGATATATGTATATATAGATATATGTATATATAGATATGTAGATTATATATATATATATATACAGTATATATATATGTATATGTATAGATACATATATATATATATAGAATCATATAGATTATAGATTATCCCCTTTAAACCGTTCTAAATAGTCCAACTGCAACTGACTATGAGCAATTTTCAGTCGGACAATTGGTCAAAACATCCATTTCTCCAGGTGTAATCATCCATTCCCCACTTTACCACCATGTTTGTTGCTTGGCTCACCATTGCCAGGCCACTTGTGAATGTCCGGCAGGGACACGGATCCCGTGTCCATCTTGTGAAGGGTTCGAGTCCTCCAGAGCTTCGAGCTGAAGCTGGGGCGAAAAGTGGCTGCAAAGCAAAACCAAAATGAGATAAATGGATGATAAATGGGGGGTTCATGGACATGTTCATGACATTTCATGGATTTTTACTCTGATTTTATGGGGATTTAACCGAGAAATATGATCAAACATGGGGATAGATTTTTGAGAATTAGCCTCCAGTAAACTCACATAGCGGACAATGCCCCATGAAAGTCGGTGATGTACATTGATCATTTGATTTACCTATTATTTCCATGGCCATGTTCCATAGCTGCCATAGCTCTTCAGCTGAGGTCATTTTGAGATAGGATCATCCCGGAAGCGTACGCAGCTGCTGCAGGTAAGTGTTCAGGTTTAAAAGTGACACATTTCGAAAGACAAAAAACACAGTGCCATTCGTCACATTGGGGAAGCAAAAAGCCACTATCCCAGCACAGACTGAAAGAACCGAAAGGCCCTGGCCGCTGCTATGGAAAATCCCAGCTATGGATCTTGGAAGCCTCTCCATTGCCATTTCACTTCGAGCAGATTCAGTCGGAGTCCTCCTCAGAGGTGCGGTTCTCTCCAACTTTTCCGCCTCGACGCCTTGATTTATTCGAGCGAAGCGGGAAGCGGCACAGATTTCAATGTGGTTTTCTATCCGAACAACCAGAGATTTCATGTCGGTTGAATGGGATATTCATGGGATTCAATGGGCTAAATGAACGTTTATATCATCGGATATTCATGGGATTCAATGAAAGTTCAATGGGATATTCATGGGATAAAATGAAGGTTTAATGGGATATTCATAAGATCAAATGAAGGTTTATGTAATAAATCGGATTTTCATGGGATTCAATGAAGGTTTGAGATGGCGCCTGCATGGGAACATGATCAGACAGACAGGCCGGGAAACCATGGTTTCCAGCAAGCCATGAGCACCAGAACAAAAACCTATTTTTAACCCTGAAGCAATCTGAAATCCAAAGTTTTTGCTGCTCAAATATCTCAAATGTTCAACTCTATTGGTGAAAGTTCAAAATTTTATGTGGGATTCCGAAGTTAACGACACCATGTCAGTTTCTCGGAAAGCATTGGGACAATTCCAACAGCTCTTGGGTTTATCATCGATGGCCGGGGCTATAGCCTGTTGTCAAACAAACCCAAACATCCTATTGCTGGTTACCCTCTGGTAAACTAACATAGCAATGGAAAATCCACCCATGTTTAATGGGAAAACTCACTATAAATGGCCATTTTCAATAGCTATGTTAGTTTACCAGAGGGTAACTCATATATCATATATCCCATTATTTATCCCCATCATATCCTCAGTATGTACCCAGTTCTGACCAAATGGACAAATGTATAGACTGTATAGGTGTACAGCTTCTATCCCCGATACCTTATACCATGTTGTGGCTAATTGATCTTAAAACGTAGCCGCTTGATCGTTTCTGGCGAAAAGTGGCGGCTTGAATCTTTCCTGACTATTGGCCACTTTGGATCCTCCCCAATATGGTAGTATAAAACTAAGACTATCGTGGGGTAAACTCCCTTTGAGATGTGGAAAAAACATGAAAAAAACCGGAATCCCATGAATGGAATCTACTTTCATGATGGATTTCCCACATCTGATGGTTAATTTACAAGAGGGCTATGAATGACACCACCAGAATCATTTGATTTCGCACCTGGATAGTGCCATATTGATGGGATACGCTCATGAATAACAACATACCCTGTGGGAATTTAACGTAGCTATTGGAAATGACCATTTAGTTCGTTGATTTACCCATAAAACGTTGTGATTTTCCATAGTTATGGTAGTTTACCAGAGGGTAATATGTTTTCACAACACAATCATCTACAATTTATATCGACATTTGTATAATTTAAGAAAAAACGAACTGGGTCAAAATTGGGGAACAAATTGGATGCAGAAAAAAAACATCTTGATAATTACAGAACCAATAAATCACTGGGGCCGGTTTTCCCACATGGTCATCCTTGGCAACCCAACTCTTTTTCAGGCTACTTTCCAGTTGCTGCGCAAAGGACCGGAACATCTGGCGTTGCGGGGGACAGAAAAGTGTTTTTATCAGCCGGTTCCCCAACTTTGGGGGTTTCAACAAAAATGGTTGATATGTGTTGATATGTGTTAATACAGTATATATGTTGATATATCTTGCTGCGATATATGTTGATGTGTGTTGATATATGTTGATACATGTTGATCCGTGTTGATATATGTTGATTTGTGTTGATATGTGTTGATATATGTTGCTGTGATATATGTTGATGTGTGTTGATATATGTTGACAAATGTTGATCTGTGCTGATATGTGTTGATGTGTGCTGATATGTGTTGATATATGTGCGGCTGTCGAAACTCCTTGTCTGAGGAAAGGACATCAACATAATTTGGAAAGGTCCCATCGCTAACCACAGTCCCGTAACAATTTACATATCATTGCTTTCATTAGTTTGGAGGGGGGTATCGCTAATACTAAACCCAATTAAAGTAGGTATCACATTCATGAAGAAAGCAGCTGCTCCGAGTTTTCACCTCTCTGAGCTGGATGAATCTGAAGAAGAACTGCTGGAGGAGCTGCTTTGCAAGCACCCAAAACGTACTCTAATTGTAGACATTGCGGCCCGGAAAGACATGCAGCGGTCCGGTCCGGAAAAGTAAGCACCCAAAACGTACTCCAACTGTAGACATTGCGGTCTGGAAAGACATGCAGCGGTCCGGAAAAGCAAGCACCCAAAACGCACTCTAATTGTAGACATTGCGGTCCGGAAAGACATGCAGCGGTCCGGAAAAGCAAGCACCCAAAACGTACTCTAACTGTAGACATTGCGGTCCGGAAAGACATGCAGCGGTCCGGAAAAGCAAGCACCCAAAACGTACTCTAATTGTAGACATTACGGTCCGGAAAGACATGCAGCGGTCCGGAAAAGAGGATAGCACGAGACAGAGATGGAGACAAACAGAAGGCGAGAGAGAGAGAGAGAGACAGAGAGAGGAAGAGGGAGAGGAGAGAGAGAGCGTTGTAAATGGTGAGCAGCGGGTGTTTCAGAGTGGTTTCAGACCTCTTTTTGTCCTTAGGCTATCTCAGCTTTGGAGAAAAACAGGAAAAAACGAGAAAAGAAAGAAGAGAAGGGAGAAAGAGACAGAGACAAAGAAGAAGTCTTGAGACGGTGAGCAGGAAGATGTGTCGAACTGGTTTCAGACCTCTTTTGGGGCCTGTTATGGGGCTACCTAGTTCTTAAGACATCCAAAAGAAGGTGCTCAAAACAGATTGTACTTGAAACACATGCAGCGGTCCGGAAAAGAGGATAGCACGAGACAGACATGGAGAAAAATAGAAGGCGAGAGAGAAAGAGAGAGAGATAGAGAGAGGAAGAGGGAAAGAGAGAGAGAGAGAGAGCGTTGTAAATGGTGAGCAGCGGGGTGTTTCAGAGTGGTTTCAGACCCCTTTTTGTCCTTAGGCTATCTCAGCTTTGGAGAAAAAACAGGAAAAAACGAGAAAAGAAAGAAGAGAAGGGAGAAAGAGACAGAGAGAAAGAAGAAGTCTTGAGACGGTGAGCAGGAAGATGTGTCGAACTGGTTTCAGACCTCTTTTGGGGCCTGTTATGGGGCTACCTAGTTCTTAAGACATCCAAAAGAAGGTGCTCAAAACAGATTGTACTTGAAACACATGCAGCGGTCCGGAAAAGAGGATAGCACGAGACAGACATGGAGAAAAATAGAAGGCGAGAGAGAAAGAGAGAGAGACAGAGAGAGGAAGAGGGAAAGAGAGAGAGAGAGAGAGAGAGAGAGAGAGAGCGTTGTAAATGGTGAGCAGCGGGGTGTTTCAGAGTGGTTTCAGACCTCTTTTTGTCCTTAGGCTACCTCAGCTTTGGAGAAAAAACAGGAAAGAACGAGAAAAGAAAGAAGAGAAGGGAGAAAGAGACAGAGACAAAGAAGAAGTCTTGAGACGGTGAGCAGGAAGATGTTTCGAACTGGTTTCAGACCTCTTTTGGGGCCTGTTATGGGGCTACCTGGTTCTTAGTTCTCAAGACATCCAAAAGAAGGCTCAAAACAGATTGTACTTGAAACACATGCAGCGGTCCGGAAAAGAGGATAGCACGAGACAGACATGGAGAAAAATAGAAGGCGAGAGAGAAAGAGAGAGAGATAGAGAGAGGAAGAGGGAAAGAGAGAGAGAGAGAGAGAGAGCGTTGTAAATGGTGAGCAGCGGGGTGTTTCAGAGTGGTTTCAGACCCCTTTTTGTCCTTAGGCTACCTCAGCTTTGGAGAAAAAACAGGAAAGAACGAGAAAAGAAAGAAGAGAAGGGAGAAAGAGACAGAGACAAAGAAGAAGTCTTGAGACGGTGAGCAGGAAGATGTTTCGAACTGGTTTCAGACCTCTTTTGGGGCCTGTTATGGGGCTACCTGGTTCTTAGTTCTCAAGACATCCAAAAGAAGGCTCAAAACAGATTGTACTTGAAACACATAGCAACAACAGTGCTTTGCGCAACTAACCCCGAGCCCAAAACAGTGGGGCGCAGATGAAACATCTCAAATGGGGGTATCGCTATTTGGAAAGGTCCCATCGCTAACCTCAGTTTTTTGCATTTTATGACAACCAATGTCCAGCGAATACATATCTTCCATAACGCGAGTTTTGACGGTTGTTCATATGTTGATATATATATATATTGAAATATGCTGATAAATGTTGATATCTGTTGATATGTAAATGTTGCCTGTAACAGTAGGCACAATTTACAGCACAAAAAACACGCACGACAAATTTGACAAAAATAAGATAAAAATGCAGCAGGTGCAGCACTTTGTTTTGTTTGTTCAACCATCTGCCAAATACAATGCGGCCTGCAAAAAAAATAATTGTGCAAACAATGACAAATCGGGAACAACATGCAAAATGAAACCAAGTGATTTTTTCAAGTTCCTGGACCCCCAAAAAAAATGCACGCGAAAAGACCCATCTGGAGCACGATTTGGAGCACAAAAAGTTGCACGCGAAAAGACCCATCTGGAGCACGATTTGGAACACAAAAAATTGCACGCGAAAAGACCCATCTGGAGCACGATTTGGGGCACAAAAAGTCGCACGCGAAAAGACCCATCTGGAGCACGATTTGGAGCACAAAAAATTGCACGCGAAAAGACCTATCTGGAGCACGATTTGGAGCACAAAAAGTTGCACGCGAAAAAGACCCATCTGGAGCACGATTTGGGGCACAAAAAGTTGCACGCGAAAAGACCCATCTGGAGCACGATTTGAAGCACAAAAAATTGGAAAAACATGGCAAGAAACCCTTTTTCTGCAAAATAAAGTTGTGTTCTGTGCAATTTTCATGGGAATCTGAAAATAGTGGGTAGCATGCGCAATCAGCTCTTCAAATTGTCAATTGCCAATTGTGTAGAATGGCTGCAATGAGCAAGATTGCCAGGCACTGTGAAGAAGAGGACATTGCAAACAAATCACAAAGCACCCGAATAGCCTATTCCAAAATAAGCCATTTTGGGGGTGATGTTTTTGGAGGGGTCCCATAAACAAAACCGTTTTACCGACTATTACAGGTATTAGGCTAGAATCAAGATATATATTGAAATATGTTGATATGTGTTGATATTTTTTGATATGTTCATATATGCTGCAGGGCTGGGCCTAGGTTGGTTTAAATGGTTTAACCATCCATTTTTGTTCAAACGATGTTTAGACCGACAACGTTTAAACCAATCCGGGGTAGTAAAGCACCTTAGTGAATGTGTTTAAACATGTTCGCTGCAAACCCCACGTTTGCCCGCATCGGATCCCGCATATCCTTTGACATGCTCAAGTCCCTGCGTAGGGCTAGCGTTTTTTACTTTCCAAAACCTAAAATCCAAAAACCCTAAAACCCTAAAAACCTAAATTTTAGGAGCCTTGCGGCACTTGGGCGCCAACACAGGGTGCTGCTTAAGGGCGCTGGTAATGGAGTTCATTATTTTTTTTATGATTGCTTTTAAAATCATTGTCATCATGATTGGCTGCAGTTAAAACTACTTCCGATAGAAAATGATGCCATTATTGATTTTAATCTTGCTCCTCAGCAAAAAAAAACCCTCAAAATATACCAAACTCTCCAGTCACCAAACCCTAAAATCACCAAACCCCTACAACCACCAAACCCTAAAATCACTAATCATAAATTCCCTCAAACCCTAAAATCCCTTCACCCTAAAAATCCTTTAACCCTAAAATCCTTTACCCCTGAAATCCTTTACCCCTAAAATCCTTTAACCCTAAAATCTTCAAACCCTAAAATCCCTTAACCCTAAAAATCCTTTAACCCTAAAATCCTTTAATTAACCCTAAATCCTTTAACCTAAATTCCTTTAACCAAAATACCATTCAACCCTGAATCCTTTAACCCCTAAATCCTTTAACCCTAAAATCCTTTATCCCTGAAATCCTTTAACCCTAAAATCCTTTATCCCTGAAATACTCTAACCCTAAAATCCTTCAACCCTAAAACACTGAAATCAGTATATAACCCTAAAATCCTTCAACTCTGAATCCTTTAACCCTAAAATCCCTTAACCCTAAAGCCCCTTAACCCTAAAATCCTTTAACCCTAAATTCCTTTAACCTCTAAAATCATTTAACCCTAAAATCCTTCAACCCTAATATCTTCGAACCCTGACATCATCAGCCTTGAGATCCTTTCACCCTAACATCCTTTAATCCTAAAATCCTTTAACCCTAAAATCCCTTAACCCTAAAATCGTTTAACCCTAAATCCTCTAACCCTAAAACCCTTTAACACTAAAAAACCCTTTAACCCTAAAATCCTTTAACACTAAAATCCTTTAACCAAAAAATGCATGGAGACACCCCGCATTGCGAAGCAAAAATGCAGAGACCCAAGGCTTTGCTTGAACTTCTGACTGACTTGTTCCTTCACCGCGTCCTTTCATCTTCGACGACATTGACGTATCGGCACGATCTCCACGAGCTCCTCTAAGGTCGCCACCGCGTCCGTAGCCACGGTGAGGAGGTCCTGCAGCACTTCGTGGAGGTAAATGCATTGGATCTCATCCACCTTGGCATTAGCTGCTAAGTATGAGTGCAGCGCGGACCACAAGTCATGGTCACTAATGCAGTCCTGCAAATCGAACTCGTCAGGGTTCCTGCGATACAGCATCATAGTCACGGAATGCGGTACCACAACACGCTGCATGGCTTGGCTTGCTTACTTGCCTTTGCAGCAGTTCTGCACTGCATTCCGCTAGGTCATACCCCCCGTGGGCTATCCATAAGCCAAGGCCCGTGAAGACATCCTGGACGGCCTCGAACTGGAAACCGCGCAAGGGTGCCAGCAAAGCTGGCAGCTTGCTGCAAATCCGACCTATTACTAGCAGCGTGTCGTGCCTGGCCGAGGGTCCCATGCTTGCCAGAGCGATCAGGATAGACTGTTCCAGCCAGGCGCGCAGGTGCGTCTGATCGACTATGGGCATGGACATGGCACGCCGCAGCGAGTGGACAGACAAGGCAACTTCATTGAGAACTCCGTGATTACCACGAGGCTCGAGTCCGGAAAAACATCATGGCATGTGGGTCAGCAGCTGGTTGCACCAGCTTATATATAACACTCTTGTGGGTGGTGTGGTAAATTACCATGAGCAGGTCATCCGCATCATGAAGCATGCCACATGAGCAGGCCTATGTTATTGCCCTGTGGTCCTGCACGCGGGCTCCGCATTGTCCGCAGCAGGCGCTTGGCAGCGTCAGCTCCAGCGAGACTGACCTGACGGGTAACAGCACAGGCACACTTGAACTGATTGCTTGCGCTGCGGGTCTGCTTGCAGCAGGTGATGCTGAGGCAGCAGCATCTCCAGGGCTGAGCGTTTTTGTGCCATGCGGATCATAGGCCTCGGTCCGGGGAGGGGCTATCGACACCAACGTGTGCATTGCATCTGTGATTCAAAACAAATACGGCCTGGTGTTCCGACCCCCCAAAAAATAACAATCAAAGCGTTGAGGCAAAGCGCCTTTCACAAAGGACACTTGGGCGCAGGAGAAAATTTGAAAAAGATTGGCAACTAACAGCTGAGAGTAGGAGAGGGCATCGCTCAGGGTGCCACATCTTCAAACCCTGAAATCATTAACCCTAAAATCCTTTCACCCTAACATCACTAACATCCTTTAATCCTAAAATCCTTTAACCCTAAAATCCCTTGACCCTAAAATCCCTTATCCCTAAAATCCTTTAACCCAAAAATCCTTCAACCCTAAATCCTTCAACCCTAAAACCCTTTAACACTAAAACCCTTTAACCCTAACAAAATTCAACCCTGAAGGCCTTTAACCCAAAGCACCTTGAACCCTGAGCCCCTTTAACGCTAAACTAGCTGGGTGCCAGGGGGTAGCTTGAGTTTGGGCGTGAAGGCTGTAAACTTATGCTGCAGCGGATTTAAGTTGGGTGAAATTGAATTGGGACCTGGCCGCTATGAATTTGAGTTGGTGCCCTGCCTGAGGCCTGTAAACTTAAATTGGGGCCTGGTGGCTGTGAATTTAAATTGGGGCCTGGGCTGTGAATTTTAAATTGGGGCCTGGTGGCTGTGAATTTAAATTGGGGCCTGGGCTGTGAATTTTAAATTGGGGCCTGGTGGCTGTGAATTTAAATTGGGGCCTGGGGGCTGTGAATTTAAATTGGCGCGTGGTGGCTGTGAATTTAAAGTGTGGCCTGGTGGCTGTGAATTTGAATTGGGGCCTGAGAGGGCTGTGAATCTAAATTGGGGCCTGAAGTGAATTTAAAATAACTTAAATTGGGGCCTGGGGGCTGTGAATTTAAATTGGGGCCTGGCGGCTGTGAATTTAAAGTGTGGCCTGGTGCCTGTGCATTCAAATTGGGGCCTGGGGGGGCTGTGAATCTAGATTGGGGGCCTGGGGCGTGAACATTTTAAATTGGGGGCCTGGGGGCTGTGAATCTAGATTGGGGGCCTGGGGCCTGTGCATTTAAATTTGGGCCAGGGCCTGTGAATTTGAATTGGGTCCTGGGGCCTGTAAACTTAAATTAAGCGCACTAACTTAAGTCGGAGGAGCGAGGGCGCGGGGGCCGACAACTTAAGCCGTGCCAACTTAAGTTAGAGGAGTTAGGGCGCGGACCATACAAAAAGTAAAAGTTTTTCCTGTTGGGCAGTTTCTTTGTTCAAGCTTTCCTGTCCAAACGAGACTTGACTTGGGCACCACCTGTGTTGGCGGACCCTAAATTAAAGCCCTAAATCCTGAAAACCTAAAGTCAAAATCGCTCCGCATAGGCAGTGTTTTCATTCATCCTCTGATGACAAGTATATGGGATTGTTTGGGTGTGTTATTTGGGTGTGGGTGAACGTGGGTTTGGCGCCAACATGTTTAAACATGTTTAAACTAATTGCAAGAGATTGCGGACCCAACCGCATGAGATCATGCGCACTTGCAGAATCAAGCACTGAGAAATCTGCTGCTAGTGACATCACCCTGGGGCCTCTTTCTTGCTCATCCGTTCTTATCATTCAAATCAAATCGCTCATTTGGGACATGTTCAAACAACCTCACAACATATATTGTGATACGTTTAAACGTTTTGGGGTCATGGCTCTAAACGTGTTTGAACGCTTTAAAGTCTAAACGAATTAATGTTTAAACGTGCTTGGACCGACGCTGATATGCTGATATGTTGATATATGTTGATATATGTTGATACAATTAATAAATCAGGTTGCTTTTCATGAAGTTACCCATTCATACCACGTTTTGGAGGGATGAACATCCCAGAAACAGAAACAATTTTGAACTACAGGGTACAGTACTCTTCTCGGGTTTTGACACTGAGAACCACATGAGAGTTTTTGCCACACGGGTCCAATTCCAGCAAGCGCAGTTTCACTGAGAACTGGGGTAAATTGATATGAATCAAAAATCCCAAACGCATATACTCTCTCTCTCTCTATATATATATATTATATATATATATACATGATATAATTATTATAATCAGTGGGGTTTTCACACATTTAAAGTTTGTTCATATCCATTATGATTATGTGCTTTCATCATGATTCCAAGAAAAGCCAAACAAATAGCAACCTCGAGAAAGAAACGAAAATCCGAAGCTAATAATAACCTGACATCATAATCTATCCTTTTGGCATAATCACTGACATTGTTTTCAGGTTTTCTAAATCACTGACATAATCTACGTATTTCTAGTTTTCTGGTTGGTGGTTTTAACATGTTTTAACCATCTTGAAAAATATGAAAGTCAATGGGAAGGATGACATCCCATAGATCATGGAAAATAACAGTCACGTTCCAAACCACCAACCAGTTTTCTATCCGTTTGGCGGCTTGGCGCTGCAAAAACTGTAAATCTTTGGTGCACCTGATGGACCGAAGCCAGTTGCTGCCGCTTCGCATCAACTTTGCCTTGGTTCCTGCTACGGAACGCCGCTGCAAAAAGTAGCACCAAGCGGCGCCCAACAATGGGTAGTTTGAGTTTAAAGAAACCAAACCTGGAGGTCTCAATAGCAATGTACCCTCTGGTAATTTGTTACATAGCTATTGAAAATGGCCATTTATAGTGAGTTTTCCCATCAAAAATGGTGATTTTCCATAGCTATGTTAATTTACCAGAGGGTAGGTCTCAATGACACGCAGCAAATCTTACTTGAAACAGCTTGAAGCTCTTCTCGGTTTTGCATCAAACATGTGCTGATATCCAGCAACAAACACATGGGAATAGTGGGGTCCATCAATGAAAACCAGCCTGCATTGTCCCGGCATGTTTTTTTCCCTGTGATATTCGTTCATCTACAGTATATCTATCATTATAGTCACCACTAACCAATGGCGGGCTCTTCTTATGGGTGTGTATATATATATATACATATACATATTATATATATATATGTATGTATATGAGTGATACTTATGGCACATTATATTCTGATGTGTATATATACACACCATTACACAACAGCACCTGCTTAAAGGTTTATTAAGAGAAACACATGGAATGGATGGACATGTAGTTGATTTGGAGAAGACTTCATCAACCTGCCACGTTTTCCTTTGATACCAGTCATGACAAATCACCCACAAGAATTCGCACGAAGCCCATGAATGTTAACCAGTGCACAGTCGAAACCGGGCCTTGTCACAGTTCCTTCCACTGAGCTGTCTATCCTGGTCCCGTTGGAAGCTGGTGATATTTATCAGTGGATGGACAGGGGGTATCCTGCTGACAAACCCAGAATGTTTGATACTAAATCTTTGAAATTATTTCAAAGCAGCATAAATTAACATGGTCTTAGATAGTAACACCCCTTGAAATATATTTCAACATACTAAGTTAAAGTTATTCTCGAAAACACAACCAAAACAAAAGGTGCTTGTGTGAAATCCTCGTTTGGTGCTGTGACCCGCTTCAAGGTCAACCCAGGCGCAGTCGTAGTCTTTCTTCCTACTTGTTTCTACTGGTAATTTAACAATTTTCTATGGAAAATCACGCATTTATCTGGCTGGTGGTATACCTACCCCTCTGAAAAATATGAAAGTCAGTTGGGATGATTATTCCCAATATACGGAAAAATAAAAAATGTTCCAAACCACCAACCAGGAATTTATAGATGATATTCCCATCATTTCCATGGGGGTTTGTCCGTTGTTAAATTACCAGAGTGGTAAGTGGTAGGCCCAATTCCCCATTCTACTTGACAACGGACCGTCCAGCTTCAAACTATGGCTCCGCAAGCACAATATCACTCGTGTCAATCATACCCATCCAACAATACATAAATGGCTTTGTCTGACAACGTTGTACATCACCAAAGGGAAAAAAACACACATAAAATAAACATATTACATAATCAATAAGAACAATACATCATCAAATTTTTGGGATAGCCCATTTTCAAACAGAGCCCAGTGATTTTTGGACCCTAATTTTTCTGCCAAATCCCGTGAGATCCTCCAGTTCTCAAAGATCTCCAAAAGGAGATTCTCTTCGTAGAATCTGGCAGCCAGACAGTTTTGATCATGTTGTGGTGGTTTTTTGGAAGGAGTCGGCATCTGTTAACGATCTATAATGATCTATAACAAACTATAACAAGTATCGAAAAAAAGCTCTAGAAAACTATCTGCAAGTATCTTGTAGCTACTTGAGCAAGGTGAGATTGACCCAAAGAACGTGCAGCAGCTGCAGCAAAATGTAAATTTAGTTTTAGTTCTAATCTATATTATGTATTTATATACATTATATACATTGTTTATACGCAATATACAGTTTCTGCTTTGATCCTCACTACCAAGGACCGTCTTTATTCATCTTCCTTATAGGTCCCAACACATGCCACGCAATCTGACTGACTCTGGCTAGGCTGCCAAATGCTTGAGGTTAAGAGATGGAGAGTTGAAAATCTCCAATTCCAAGGCACCCCAGGCGGCTTCTCGGATCACCAATTCTGATTCTCACCCCACCTCTAAACAAGTTCGTGTTTGCTCCGATCGATGGCAGTTTCAATCCGAAATCCATAAAAGTTGTCCCTTGGAGTTGTCTTCTGTGTACCCTCTGGTAAATCCACCCGGAAAATCCACCAAAGCTATATATGTTCAATGATTTTCCAATGGCCGCCACTTGTAGGTGATTTACCATTGCTATGTTTGAGGACACCGGAGGGCACCAAAACAAACCTGGCCCCGCTAACCCGGTGCAGGATATTGTAGACCCCCTAGACCTGAAACCTGGAAAAAAATGTGGATCTGTGAAAACATCTGGTTTTCAGTGACCAGCAAAATATGGGGCTTTCATAGGGATTTCATGTTGATTTACCGAGTAAGCCTGGGTGAAATGTCGTGGATCATGAAGTGTGGTTTCATATCGTCTTAGACTGGCTGTTTTTGATATATTTGGTTATCTTACAATACTCCACACACACATACATACTGTATATCAACTGTTTATATGTTTAAATAAATAAATATATATATATATATGTATGTATGTATATATATATAATTGTATGTGTATATATATATTCCCCTTTTGTGAAGCCTCAAACTTGTTGTTTTTCATGGTGCTACCCATCTGTTTGATCCTTCAACATCAATTATTCCAACCCCCTCCGTCCTACTGCACCAAAACTGCACCTGGCAGCTCTGTTCATAGCAGCTTCCGCTGCCTTGTTGTGTTGGGATTTATACTCCTCGCGCCGCGAACACGACAAGGTTTTGTCGAAATCATGACCTGACGAAAAAACTTTATTGAGCTCAAGAATTGTGTTTACCCTCTGTTAATCAAAAATGGTTTGCTGAGAAATCAGCCAGCCTTCTAAGTGATGTTCCCATTAAAACTGTAGAAAACTTAGATGATTTTAGGATTTCTGGTGATGATTACTCCTAAGACATCTTATATAAATATATATGAATATCATCCTTGATCGGTGGTGAGGTCGTTTCACCCAGAATCACTGGTCGTATTTCACAACAGAAACCCTGAGTCCGTTTATCTCTGCGGGCGCTGTGGTTTCCGTGGTGGAAAAGGTCATCTTGGGATCAACGATTTGAAACCACAGCCTCGGCACCAACTGTGATGGTTAAACAAATACTATTATATGGGTATGGATCAATACCTATTAATACTATTTTTAGGGGGATGAACATCCATTTACCAGCTATTTTGATGTTCAACAGGGGTACAAGGATTTGACACACTGCCATATATCTTCAAATGGACCAAAATCTGCGACTGGACCATCTGGACCTTAGAGACTTAGACCCTTCACTACATACTCTCCTGAATGACCTTGTCATTCTCCCGCATGGCGGCTTCCAACTCTGCCTGTGGGCCCCGAACACAGAAGATCATCTCTCGATTCGATTCAACACATTCTTGGGTGTGACTTTGATCTTAGGGGTGTCCGCAAAGACACCATCAAACATCCACAATGATGTCCAAGTTTTCCACAAGGTTATATCAGTTATATCCCTTTAAACAAATCCGAACACGCGATCATAACTGGTTGGGTATACCTACCCCTCTGAAAAATGATGGAGTTCGTCAGTTTGGATGATGACATTCCCCAAGATATGGACAGTCATAATCCAGTCATGTTCCAAACCACCAACCAGTAAATATATCTATATTATATCATAGTTAATCCATATATTACCATATAACCCATAGTTAATCCATATCTATATCATAGTTAATCCATAGTTAATCCATATATTATCAGTAAATAATCCAGGAATCTTGGGAATGTCATCATCCCCAGATAATCAGCAAGTACCTCCCGTGAAACCATCCAGAGATTCACCTCTTTCACCAGCCGCGCCTCATCTTTGGCGTCGCTGTAGTGTGACTTCCAACACGCAAAGGCCTCGTAAGACATTTTCCGTCGAATCGGGATAATCGGGATGATGGATGAATTATTTCATGGAAAATCCATTCGAAAAAATGGAGGATGACTGGGGGTATCCCCATGACTTAGGAAACCTCCATGACTAAGAACATGACTATAAACATCTATAAACAACATTAAACATGCCTGAAAAAACCCTGAAGGATAAGGAAAAATACTGAACATACCATACTGTAATATTGCAGACATAACGAAAAAACTGTCGTTTTTTCCAGGATTTGGCACAAATTGGTTCTTGAGGGATTAATGCTGGTAGGATAGTCCCAAACTCTGTTGGATGCTTCCAAATTCTCCAGACAGTTTTGTATCATGTATATCAAACTACTTATCAAACTACTAGCTACTAGTAATCAACATGTCGACATCTATTTTTCCGTTGATGATTTCACCTGGTTTTTTGGTTTTTCCATATCCATCGTAAGGTAAAAACCCCAGGACCCCGCCTGCGTGACGATGTTCGTGTCGCAGCCGCCCAGGGCCATTTTCAGCACCTCGGCGACGGGAACAGTTCTGCGAGAAACCCGTTTTGCGAAATGCGAAATGACCATCGTTTTAAGCGTTGGTGATAGGTGGGGGGATCAATTTCAAGACATTTGATACATTTTGATACCCTTTAATATGATCTATTATTAAAAATAATCCAACCATGAATTAAATATACTTACATTAAATGACATACAATTAAATTAAATGACATACAATTAAATTAAATGACATACAATATCATAATATAATATCAATGCATGAGAACACATGCTGCAGGATAATAGTGATGGCCCCCCAACCGGTTGTTCTACAAATTGTGCACGGGGGAGGCATCTGGGTACTGGGAATGTAGGCAGATGGGAACGCAGACAATAAACCACGGGAAGTTTAGACACTTTCTGCGCAGATGTTTTGCATCTTCCAAACAACAAGTTCTCTGTCCTTTGAGGCCTTGAAATCGCAGTGGGTCAAAACAATACCCTCCGGAGCCTTTGATCATCATGGCAATGATATTCATAAATTGTCCCAACTAAACCTCCATTTACAGTACTCCAAAGATTTCTCAATTTGCTATGTTTCATCCCTTAGTGATCTGAAATGTTGGCCTTGGAGAGTTACCCCGTTACCCCTTAGAATTTATCCAAATGCAATATATATATATATGTATATATGTATATATATATATGTATATATGTATATATATATATATGTATATATGTATATATATATATATGTATATATTGTGATTCTCAAACCAATAGCTGATGATTTCCATGTTCCACTCATAACCAACCCTCGAAATAACCAGTTTCCACTCTCTTTGAAGGTCACTTGAAAGCAGCTTCATTCCGCCAGACATGCGAGGCTCAGGGAAGCCCATGCGGTGGGCGGGTGAGGATTTTCCGTCGTGTCTTCAGCCAATAGTGGACTGCAAAGCGACAGGGTCGCACCGAAACCATAGAGGACGAGGCCGTCCCTTCAATTGACGATTGCGTCGAGCAGAGTGCGATTGTCTTGTTGACAGTGGCGCTACCCCACTTTCATTGGTAGCGGAGCTCCCGCAAGGGAGTATCCAGCCATCATGAGCGAAGCTTCAGGTGATCGCGGTGAACAACAGATCATAAATCAGCTGGCATCCCTCGTGCCGACCTTCGACCATCAAAGGATGACATGCAGACATACAAACAGAAGGTTGAGATAGTTCTTGGTGCGTGGCCCAAATCTCGCATCACAGAACTAACAACGCGGCTGATACTGAAAACCTCAGGTTCTGCTTTTATTCAGACCTTGCAGATTCATCATGCAGAGCTGATGGACAATGACCCGAAATCAATGACAAAGTTGATCGAACTGTTGGGTGGACAATGGGGACGCATTGGACTGGAACAACAGTATCAGGATATCGAAAATGTATTGTACTATACAACTCAGAAAGTTGATGAGTCTCATGATTCCTTTTTGGCAAGAGCAGAGGTTCTTTGGTCCAAAGCCCTGGCTAGGAAATTGTCAATTGCAGATCTACAGGCATTTGTGACGCTTCGAGGTTCGCTTCTCTCACCCGACGAGAAAAAGCGAGTGATCCTGGATGCCGACCAAAGCTTGGAAGGCAAGTTGACAGTGCCTCGGGTTCGTGAGGCAATCAGGCTTTTGGGGGCCACGTTCTTTGCCTCCATGACTGGACAAAAGACAACAGCCAAGACCAAGGTCTATGATGCAGCAACCATGCATGTGGAACATCAGGATGATGCCAACACAGCTGATGGTTTGATCACCACCGATGATGGTGGCACTGAGGAAGACTTCATAGAAGCTCTGGCGATGGAAGGAGAAGATGAAGACGCTGTGCTAGTGGCCGATTTTGAGGCTCTAGCTGCCGACACTATCCAGGAGGACAGTGAATTGGCTCAGGCATTCAACGCCTACAGCGACACACGTCGCCGACTCAGTGAGAAGTATCGCAATCGGGGCTTCTGGCCGACGTCAAGGAGTTCCTCACAGAATAAGGGTAAAGGCTTTGGTGGAAAGTTCAGTGGTCAGCGTGGCAAAGGCGGTTTCAATCCCAACCGTCAACGGAAGTCGCTGCAGGATCTCATCATGCAGAGCAACTGCAGAGCCTGTGGACGTAAAGGTCACTGGAAGGCGGAGAGCCCGTTCAAGTCATCGGCACCTTCCACGACCAGTCAGCCACCATCGACCGCACCGACATCAACAGTGATCACTGAACAGGATGCCCTTCCACTGGAGTTCCTGAACTTGCCGCAGGTGACACCTGAAGCCTCATGTCCGCCTCCTGAGGAGCCCAATCAAACTTGTGGTGACCAAGGGAAAGTATGTTTTTTTCTAAATGGGGAAGTAACCAATGATAGCACTGCCCGAAAGAGGTTAAGGGATAGTCTGCGCCACTACAGGGAAAGAATCCATAGTGAATCTGGGGTAGTTATTGAGACCAATTCCTTAAGTGACAGCCGATCTCGAATGAAAGCCTGGATCCGCTGGAGTAGAGCCCAGCCCAGCACATGTGAAGCCATGCGCAGTGATTTCAATGAATGCTCTATGCATCCAGGTGTTGCCAACATGACTTACTTATATTTAGCTGTATTTTGGTATTTTTTTTATTTTGGGCCGTCAACGAGAAATCCAACAAAAAGGAAGAGGTGCAAACGAGAATAACAAATATCTTTCACGTCTTTCTTCCTTGAACTTTGCCGCAACATAACAAGAGGGGCTTCACAATAAACAACCTTGAAGTAGAATGTAAAAGACCAACGCAAACTTAAGACTGCAACTTAGTCGCGACAAAGATATGCGACACAGTGCTCAACACCAACTTTGAGAAAAATTCTCAAGAGCCGTGGCCACGCTTTTTCCCCCGGTAGCAGACGAGTTTTGCAAATATCTTTTTGCGTTTTGATTGAAGCAATTGGGTTAAAAACTGAAACAGACCTGTTGATGGCCGAACCAGCCACCATCCAACAAATCCGACACAGACCTTGGCTGAAACAGCCACGGTTGGAATACCAAGCCGACTTCAGCTTTGGCAAAGTCATCTTTGGCCCCTCTTTCTTAATATGCAACATGGGCGGCCCACGAGATCCCCACTTGCTGCATTTCAACTTGCGGTGCTTCTGAAACCGCTTTTCGAGCCCCAAAGTTCCAACTATCCGTATTTGGGCTAAGCGCAGATCTCTTTCAGCTTGCTTGATTTAAAGGGTCCTTAGCACTACAGAGTGCACAGCTGGCTGATTCTGAGTCAGCTTTCTTGGGCTGAAACAGCCGCAGAAGGAAACGCCTTGAAATTGAAATGTGTGAGCTTTTTTTAATCTTCGTTGCACTTGTTATAAATCAACTGCTGTTTGCTGAACTGAGTCTACAGGGTGTCTGCAGCTGCCGCAACGCATGTTTATCCACTTTTCCACTTGTCATTTTTTTGCATCTCACATCCGACTCTGAAGACAGCACCCCGCCGCAGTCTATGTGGCTAAGATCCGGCCCTTTCCAGATTTCCAGCTGATCTGACATTGGTCGATGCCGCGGTGGCATACTTGTGGCCAAAGCAGCCACCAAAAGCGGAAGCAGCTAAGTGGCCGAATACAGCTACAGTAGCCGAGACAGTTGCCGCCTCTTTGGCGTAGAGATGGTGTGGCCAGTTTTCAGCCACAAGCTTCCGTGAAGTGCTTGAGCCGAGGCTCCTGAAGCGAAGCGGATCTCAGGCATGCTCCTAAGGAGAGGACTCGTCCTGTCCTTAGGAGGTTCAAGGACGTCCCCGAGGCTCCTAAGGAGAGGACAACAATGGGACAAAGGCCTTTGAAAAACTCATACTTAAGAGTATTCCAGTTTCGTCCCCTTGTCGTCCTCCCCTTAGGAGGTTCAAGGACAACCCCGAAGCTCCTAAGGAGAGGACATTCCCACCCGTTGATTCGAGGTCCGTTGATTTTTTTTTGATGCTCCTAAGGAGAGGACAAAAAATCACATATATTAAGTAGCCAAGACTGTCTCCAAATCAAAGCTTTCGTTGAATCTCCCAATATTTGTGGGTAATCGTCTCTTAGATTCAACCCATTGGTAGATTCGACCAGAAACCCAAAGTCTTTACCCTGACGCTTCAACCCACCCCAGCCAATTCCCATTTTTGCGAAAAGTCCATCGCGACCTGCTATGTACAAAAAATGACTAAGTATGTAACGCAGCTTCAAAGTGAGAAGTCGGAACAGCGTCAAAACAAGCCAAAGCAGCTTTGACAGCCGGAAGCAGCTTGCCTGATTCTGCAAGGGCTTGGCTGAAACAGCTACCGCTAATGCCGAAGCAGCCTCACTTGAGGTCGAAACAGCTCCCTCGCTGCGTGGACATGCTGAGCCGAAGCAGCCGAACAGCCACCGCCCTCCTGAAGCTCCAGAGCCCGCCTTTGTCCTTTCATGCTTTTGGAAGGTTTTTTTTGCATGTGAATGGGCTTTGTATGGCTTTGTGATTTCATTGTTTGCTCAGACGCTTGTCAATCCGCTTTGGCTAGAACCCTGCAGTCAACACCCTATGGCGTGCGCAACCAAGTTTCCAGCTCTGGGTGACGACACAAAATACGGAACTGTGAGCCCCATTTCAAGCCCAAGACATGCCACTTGGATCGAAACCATCTGCCATTGCAAAAGCAGCAATGCTGCTCTTGTCTTTGACAGCTAGTGACCCAAATTGCAAACGAGAAATAAAAATAAACCAGCAATAATTTCAAATACCTATTCAGCTGCCTCGACGAGAAAAATTGAAAGAGCCAATGGAAAGTGAAAAAAAGTGTACGAATATGTCTGAAATTTGCAAAGGAAAGGACCAAGGAAACAAACAACATGTTCCCTACATGTCTTAGATGTCACAAGTTAGGGTTGCAAAGGGTATTCCAAATCAGCCATTGTTGAAGCAAACGAGATTCTCAAATAGCTTAGCCAAACAAAAAAATACAAAAAAATATCTCAGGCCAAAAAAAAAAAATACAAAAATACAGCTAAATATAAGCAAG